TATGGCCATCGTGTTTTATCACAGCAATAGAAACCTTAACTAATAACAGATTATAGGCATGTGTTAGCATGCTTTCTTTTTCTACATGGGATTTGGGAATCAAATTCGGTGCCTCATGCTTACATGAAAATCACTAACTGAGCTACCTCCCCAGTCCTTTTGATACTCTTAAACTGTGGAAATGTTCTCATCAAGTGGTAGTCAAGAACATGAGAGAGCAGACCCATGATAGTCACATTTCAAATCCCTGCTTGTGCACATCCGTAGACATCCTGTGGGACAGAGCAAGTCCTCTGGCCATGACCAACGTCAGTGAGCTATATGTTTTCTTTTTCTGCCTGACAGATTAACATGAGTTCAGTCATTTCAAACATCGCACATTTGTATTTCATTTCTGAGGGTCTGGGGTTGAGACAAGGCTCAAGGTCTCATAGTGGACAATGACGAGGTTAGAAAGGCTGGCTATTACATCGAGGCACTGCTGGGGAGGTCCTGGCCTTTGTCCTTTGCAACTCAGGGTAAATAGCTCAAGTCCAGAGGCAGGATGGATACCATATTCCTAGGTGGTCATATAAGTGTAATCACATGCATTCAACAATGGTGACCCCATTTTTTGGTTAGAAAATGGGGGTCCTATCCGCACTTGAGGGTGAGTTTCAGAAAGGCAGTGCACCTGAAGGTGAGAGACTTGGGAGTCACTTCAAAGTGTGCCCTCCACACATATTTGCTGACTAATGCACTCTGGTAATGATCATGGACAGGACCTAGAAAAAGATATATGTGTGCCCCTTCTGATGGGCACTGTGTATAACACAGGGCTTACATCATAGGATAACTGGGGAAGAATTAAGTCCAGGCTCAGTTATAATTGGAAGGAGAGGGTGGATTAGGAGAGCAGGGCTCTGGGGACAAAGTCCACCTGTTGAATTGTTGGTACCTTCAATAGCCACCAGACATCCCCTTTGGATACCAGAATTTGTGGATGCCAAAGTTCCATACTTGATGTTGAAGGACATTTGCATAGAAATCTACAAATATAAGCCCATATACTTTAAATTCTGTCTAGATTTTAATACCTAATGGCATAGGAATACTATGTAACTTACCAGTATGCTTAATTATGTATGGATGATGTAAAAACTAGTCACGGGTTGGCGAAATGGCTCAGCTGGTAAAAGCACTTGGTGTCAAGCCAGCTGTCTGAGTGCCAGAAGGAGAAAACCACCTTATACAAGTTCATCTCCAAGCACTGTGCACATACACACAATAAAGGGCTATGTCTCTTGTGCCAACAGGGGTTGTGTTCTTGTGATTTTAATGAGTGGTTTGATAATGTCCCAATTTTTAAAAAGTTAAGGGTTGCCAGGCAGTGGTGGCACACACCTTTAATCCCAGCACTTGGGAGGCAGAGTCAGGTAGATCTCTGAGTTCGAGACCAGCCTGGTCTACAGAGTGAGTTCTGGGACAAGCAGGGCTACACAGAGAAACTCTGTCTCAAAAAAACCAAATTAATTAATTAATTAACTAATTTATTTAAAAGTTAAGGAATTAGAGAAATAGCAAAGTGGCTAAGCACATTGGTTCTTCTTCCAGAGAACCTGGGTTCAATTCCCAGCACCCACATATTGCCTCAACCTTCTGCAACTCTAATCTCAGGTGATCTGATGCCATACTCTGGCCTCTGTGGGCACTGCATACACCCATACACATAAAAATATGTAGTAAAAAATTTAAAGTTACAATCTTAACAACTTTCCCTCAGTACTTCCTACCCAATGACAATTGAGCCCAAGGATGAACCCTATGGAGAACTGACTGCATCTATTTCTCAGGACTATCGCTCAGAGACCATGGGTCTCACCTTGACTTGGGGGAAGCAAACAGAAAATAGCGGCTGCAGAACAGAAAGTAGAGGTAGCTCCTGGCTGCCAGTTGCCCTATTGTGTTTGCTTTGTCTCAAATTTTAAAAAAAATTGAATTAAGTCAATGATTAAATTTGGGGTGAAAACTGCATCTGTGATTTCTCTTTAAGAACTGGAAGGGGTTAGGAGTGGCTGTCTCCGTCTCCACAAGCAGCCCATTTACCAGATTCTCTAGGATGGCCATTCTCTAGGGTGGTGACAGGCATGGCTGTGCAACTGTGCCATCACCCTGTATACCAAGAGTCATAGCAGGCCTGCAGAAACTCGTTACACTTAGCACAAATGAATTTATCAGGGAAATATGCAAGGCCCACCAGAAGGCTCCGTGCCATGTGTCCTCTGCCTTCTGCTTTCCATGGGCTTCCAAGTCCCACTGCACCATGAATGCACACTGGGCCAGAATTCTCTGCAGGACAGGACCCATAATACAGCAGAACAAAACCCACATCATTACTGAACAAAAACCAATTTTCTTCACATAGTACACACATGTACCTGCACACAGGTACACACACACACACACACACACACACACACACACACACACAGACCAGTCGCACTACAAAAGCCAGTATTGCAAGAGGAGACTAAGTGCTAGCATTTGGACCAAATCTGTCTTTTGTTTGGTTATAGAGAGCATCCTAACCCTCATCATCTCTATTCAGATCCCCGTGATGTGGGGTCTCTGGAAACTACAATTCGTAGTCTCTTCATTAAGACTTCTTTAGTCTCAGTCTCTTAGGAATCTACTTTCATGGTGTTTTTATTTATTCCTCACCAATGTTGGAGGTGGGGAGACTAGGAGGAAAAGAAAAAGACCAGCTTTAAATTGGCACCAGCCCTAATCTGGGTTGATTGGGATGTGTAGGGATTAGTCACTATTGCTAATGAATATTTAAATCTCCTTGGCTTTCTTGGCAAAAGAGGGCATCCGAGTTTTCAAAGCCCAGATTTGAATGATTGGCCCATCACAGGCTGGCCTGGGAAACAAGTAAGCTGGTGCAATGGTTCCCTCTCTCAAAGCCAGGTCTTACCTCCATGCTGCCAATGGTTATTCCCAAAGGGCACTTGATGGCCTTCCCATCCTTGGAAATCATCATCAATCATGAAACCATTGCAGCCTGCCTTCAGCCTGAGCCAGGAAAGCGGCACTGGTGTAGCTGGTCTAGGGCAAGCTGGTCCAATCCTCCAGAACACAGGCTGAAAGAAAGCTGAGGAGAGAAAGGGAAACTGCTTGGGCAGATTGGAAAACTGGGACCCAGGTGACTTCTAGGGCTGATCCTAGAGTGCCACTGATGTTACCCAGAACTAGAATTGAGGACTCTGGGTCAGCCACCTTGTTGGAGAAGGACTTTCACCTCATCACAGACCGTGGAAGGTTGATTTCATCAGTTGCTTGGATTTCATGGGACCCATAAATGTACAGTTAATGCATGGGAAGAGTTGAGCAGGGATGCTGGTGAGATCGGAGTCTTGCCTCTGATCATCCTCCCATTGATGCAGGTTGAAAGCAAGAAACAATTCAGTGTCCCTTCCCTTGCTGCTCACTCTCTGTCAGTTTGTGCTGGCAACTAGACCACCACATGCCCAGGTAGTCACTGGTCACATGGAAAAGAAGCAGTTACAGGTTGGTAGCCAGTGCTAATGTGCTATAGCAAGATATGGCTCTATCTGTATTTTTATACACCAGTGGAAATAGCAGCCTGCATGCCTCAGGAGCATGGGGGGAGCTTTCCAGACTGTGGGAAAAGCTGCATGATTTGAAACAGCACATTTACAGACCTGTTAATGTTCATGTTCTCAGACTGATCCACCCAAAACATCTGCCACTCACCCCCTTAAAATGTCAGTTTCCACGCTTGGTGGGTGTGGGGAAGTGCTGCCTTCTCTACCAGGCTTACTGCTGTCCTTACTACAAAAGGAAGTCCGGCGATATGCGAAGTGCATTTGTCATTATTTAAGCAAGTGGTTTGCTCAAACACCACCTTAACTTGATTTTTCTGTGTGTCTCATTATACCATGAAAATCACAAATTGGTTTATGATCTCGATAACATGTAAATAGGAACTTAATGAATCAGCAATATGATGTCATCCTGTATATCATTGAGAACATGCAGGCATTCACACATATATGTACATGCATATACCACACACACATATCTACATCCGTATATTCACAGACACATATAATAGTGTTGTGATTATAATTCTGCATCTATAAAGATGCACATGCATATTGTATATTCGGGTACACAGAGACAGAAACACATTACATATACCACATACACAAACACATGACATATACACTTCACACATAAACATAGGTACACAGACCACAGATACACACACCTACCATACACAGACATCCAATCATGTATGCACAGAGATAACCACACAGATGTGTATACATTTTGTTGTTGCAGTTCTGCAGAGAGAACGTGCTAGACCAGCACTGTGCCACTGATCTACATCTCCAGTACCATTGTAATTTTTTTGGTTTTGATTTTAGTTTGAAGCAGGATCTCCCTAAACTGCCCAGGCATGGCTAGAACTTTTGATCTTCCTACCTCAGCCTCTCACCCTAATGTTGGAATAGATATATGCTACAACATCTGGCTGAAGAGGCTACGCATTGTTGCTGTTTGTTGATTACAGATGATACTTATGGAAGATAATTATCTCTGCTTCGTATTTAAAAGTACAAGAATGGTGTGCCCCAGGCTATTGAGCTGGAGGAGCTAGTCTGGACCCTAATTGTTCTGATGTCCAAAGCAACATCTTTCAAGCCTTTGCTGCCAGCACCTAACCAGATTATAGAAAGGAAGTGAGACTTTGAAAGGTCACTGCAAATAAAGGTCTCTCCAAACACAGTTCACCCTCTCAGGTCTCTGCTGGAATAGCCGCAGAGAGCCTAAGTCCTGAGAACAAGTGACCATTTCAAATGGCCAGATTGTGTTGTAAAAATTCACTTCCTGCTTCAGTAACATTCCACAGCTAGCTGCCCCCCTCTTCCCCAGCAACTGAGATTTATGGTTGCTCTTCTTGAGGGTGCTCATTGCTGCCCCTTCTCTTTCAGCAATCGATCCACTCCTAGCAACCATGACCGGATACAGCGTCTACGGCAAGAGTTCCAGCAAGCCAAGCAGGATGAGGACGTGGAAGACCGGCGCCGTACCTACAGCTTCGAGCAGTCTTGGGTGAGTGTCTGGCTCCTCAGTCCGGGCGAAGAGGCTAACAGCTGCCCCATAAGAGAGGGCCTTGAGCTATGACCTCAGTCCTTTATGAAATAAGACAAGATGGAGCCAAATCCCTCTGACCTTTAGCATTCTGACCTTTCCCTCATTTCCATCTGGGTTTCATCATTGCTAATTTCATTTTATATCTTGTTCCACCATCTGTCCACTGTGTAATAGGTTCAAATAGTCATATGACGAGACACCACCAAAGAATGTCTGCACTTGACTGCATTTGTTATTAGGTTTACTCAGTGCTTTTCTATAGAGCAGAGCCGACATAAGTTCAGCTCATGCTTATATGTGTCTGTGAGACAGAGGTTGATAATTCCTGGTTCTTTATTCTCTGACCCTCTTGATATTTTTTGTTTTGTTTTATTGAGACAGGGTCTCATGTAGCTCAGACTGGCTTCAAACTCGATATATAATCAAGGATAACCTTGAACTGCTGATCTTCCTGCCTCTGCCTCCCAAGTATGGTACTACATTTGTGCATTGTTATGCCAGTTTTCTGTGGTGCTGGGCATCAAACCCAGGACTTTATGTGTGCCAGACAAGCTCTCTACCAACTGAGCCACCATCCCCAGTCCTGCCAAGTATTTGTCAAATCCCTGTTTATCTATCTTCACCTGTCATCCATCCTCCATGTAGCCACTTCAGCAATCTCTTTGGGATGAAACTGTGGCTGCTCCTCTTTTGTCCTGCATCTGTATCTGTGAGACCTGGTGGCACTCTTCTAGGAGTAGAAGGATGGGAGCAGAGTTGGTGCTGGAGACAGTGAAGAATCTGAAGGCTCCCTGGGAAGAGAGAGACTGAGTCAGTAAGAGCTGCTCTCATAGGCCAGTATAGCTCTGGAGATGGGAACTTCCTGTCCTCCTGGTAGCGCAGCCCCACCGACTGCCAAGAGAATTAGGAATGACGGAGGCATGTTTACAAAGAAGCTCTGGGATTGGGACGGGAGAAACCAACAGGTAGAAGGTCAGGATGCCCTATAGTCCTGATGAGGATTCTGGGGTCAGGATGCTTAGTCCAGGTAGGGGAACCTGTGCAGCTAGAAGATGGATCACCATGGTGGCTCAGGAGAATGTAAGAACAACCAGAAGCTTCAGAACTATAGTGGGAACGACTATTCTGTCCTTGCACTCGAGGCACAGAAGCAGAGGAGACCAGTGCCCAGATGTTGACTAGTCCCTTCAGAAAAAGTCTGGGAATAAAATACATTGCACCAGATTTCTGGATGTGGCAGAAGAAGGATGGTGTCAGGAGAGACTTGAGGACACATGCTCCTTCTTGATCATAGGGGGGGATGAACCTCCCAGCTGAAGTGAAGCTGACAGGTGGCTGGGTAGAGGGAGGGCTGAGTAAAAGTGGAGATCCGAGAGAGGGTGGTCATGTTCAGCTTTGACAAGCATGGGTCTGGGATGTCAGGGTGATCTTTGGGGTCCTTCTTGGTCCCAATACCCAATTCATCCAGTGTGCTGTGTGAAGCAAGAGACCTTTAAAGGCTTCTGTCTAATGATCATATGGAAGGATGACTTAGAGCTGAAAGAGGGGAGGAAGTGTGGAAGCTGTGTCAGGCTGATAGGCCTCGCCTTAGAATGGCAATCGCCAATGTGAGCACAGCATTCAGGTGCGAACATGCCCCGTGAAGGCCACCCTTGCGCTGATCCAACCCCGAAACAGATCTCCAGTTGTCCTCTGCAGCTGTTGTGCTCTTAGACATGCTTTCCTTATAAGGGACCTGATTTATTTGCCAGTAAATTGAGTCATCTCTGTAGCAACAGGGTGGGATTGTGATAATGCACTGGTGTTGTTTGCTGTAATTGACTCCATCTATCCCTGAGAGGTTTCCTAAAGCAGGGTTCTTATGTGATGTATAGTTAACTACATTTGAAGAGAGAACCGAGGACAGTGCCTACGAAGAAAGCAGCCACCACAGACAGAAGTGGTTGTCACATACCCTGCTCTGATCTGCCAGCCTCTCATGGTGTCCCCACACTCTGCCATGAGGAACACTTTTGGTTACCTAGGAATGTGGCTCTCAGACCAGCATCTTCCCAGCACTCACGCCTCACTTCTGGGAAGCTCACAAGGCCCCGTTGTCATGCAGTACAGAAGAGCAAGTCTGGGAAAGAAAGGCCGTCCCTAGAGCTGTGTAGCAAAGGTGATACAAAGAAAGCCACTCTCCATCCTCCTGCCTCAGCCTCCCAAGTGCTAGGGTTACAGGTGTGGCGACCACTCCTGCCTTCTGACAGGTGATATTGTGCCCACATAAAGGAACTTCAAGTTTGAGGCCAGGTGTCTTCTCAATGCAGGGGATTTTCATTGAGAGACTCTGGAAGGGTTTTATCCAGGTCTGAGTGAGGAAGTGTCTGTGATTCAGATGTTTCCCCATTATCTCTTTAATAGGAGCAATCACTCCAGAGAAAAGACCGGAAAACCCCTGTACTTTAGAAACTCGACTACCAAAGGTCAGAGGTCAAATTACAGTGTGCCAGATGCCATTGAAACTTTAGACAGACAGAGTGGCCTATGTATTATTTCCTGAGATGACAGAACCGCAATTACTTGGATGACAAATTGGTTACCGTAGGCATCGAATAGTTTCCTCAACTGTGGATCAAAAGTTGACCTTTTCCTTTCTTTTTATTTTTCACTTGCAAACAATTGAGATCTTGCTGAGAATTCTCCCTTTTGCTGATGACCTAAATGAGCTCATGCTAACCGTTATTCTGCTCCGCACAGCACAGCACAGCGATCCTCACATCAGCTCTCCCTTTTTCCTCCGTGAGAGCTGCTGGCTTCTTCAGAGTCTAACCTCTCTGGTTCCATCTTCCCTTCCACAGCTAGCAACCTTCTTTCTCCCACATGTCTGCTGACCCTGTAGTGTTCCTGTACTCGGAAGGTGTCAGAGCATGGCTTCATAACGGTCCACACTCATTTTATTTTTAAAGAACCTCAAGTTCATCTTTAAGCTGTATGGGAAGCATAGCACATTCAAGCTGAAATACAGCCAGATATATGTGTAGCATAGAGCTTTCCTAGCCAACAACTTCTTCGGCAGGGCTTCCTGTGGCAAAAATGACTGCAGGTAGCCCTAAAAACTCATCTATTTTGGAAAGGTTCACTGTAAACCCTAGCAGTGTGGAATGCACCTGCTTGTGGGCCTTTGTTCAGGATGCTGTCTGGGTTGGAAAGAGCTGTTTGTGGCACAAAAGGCCTTTAGAGGAGCAGAGGCCCAGGAAATTCTGAGCTGGAATCAGAGCATATCCTCTCCCAGGTTGAGGAGGAAGAAAAGCCGGTTCTTCCCCACCCCATGCAGGTGCAGCCTAAACAAAGCAGCACCCCGCTTTAACTCTTCCCTAAGGCAACCTCCGGCAAGTCACTGAGCAGTAGCTGGGGTGCCCATCATTATGGGGTGCTCCGGCATGAATGAACTGACAGTTACTCTAAAGGAGTTAAATCTCAGGCTGTACACAAAAGAGTTCAGCCTGCCAGTGGAACCTCTCAGACTCCTCGCGTTGCCCACAAGGAGATGCACTGGCTGAGGCAACTGAGAAATGGATAACAGATGTTAATAGTATTGCTAATTCCTTTCCATCCCTGGTCAGGAGTGACTGAGAGTACTTTAGTCCTTCAAGGAGAAAATGGACCCTGTGCAGTGTGAATGTCCTCATCTTTCCTGAGCTTGCTTTGTTCCTTACAAGCCTTAAACGAACAGCAAAATCTACCTTTTCCTCCATGTTCCTTGTGTGGGTACCTTTTCCTCCATCTTCCTGGTGTGAGCTTGCGATGGTGCTTTTTGTCCTTCCAGGGTGTGGCCTGCTTTCATCAGGAGCCCAGGGCAAGCAGGGCTATTCTGCACCCCTGTTGCCTTCCTTAGGCCAGGGGCTTTGATAACCAGCAGTTTAGTTTTGTTGTCACTGTTTTAGTGACTTATGAGGCTTCTGCTGCTGTTGCTTCCTCGTTGCCTGGTGTCCTTGACTCAGGAGACACCACTTTCACTTAAGCCTCTCAGCGGGACCTCAGCTCACACGGCCTGGAGATTGCTTTCCTTGGAAATGTCCCCAGAGAGAGCTTTTTGCAGCAGAGGGGTGGCAGTTCCTCATGGAGAAAAACCCTTGCTACAGCAAAGTGGACCCCTGGCTTTGGACTATAATAACCATCCCTGTAGATGAGCTTTAAAGGCCCATGAGCTATGCTACCCGCAGAGGAGGGTGCTGGATGCTATGAGCTGCTGATGCTAATGGCCGGCTCTGTAGATCTAGACCTAGTTCTCAAGGTACTAGGTGCTTCAGATAGGAAAATCTAGTAAACACAAGCACTGATGGGAGAGAATGAATGAAGACAAACCCAGTGTTAAACCAAATCATGCTTTTAGAGAGATCAGGGGCAACTGGGTGTTCCAAGGACTTTCCTGCCTTTACAGGGGCTCTTAGTAGTAGCACTTAGGCTTTTCAGCATTCAGAACCCACAAGAGTTTGACAGAATATTGGGGCAGAGGACTGAGACACCAAAATAGACAAAAAGGTGTCTCAGTTATACCACCCTGAAGGCCCCAGTCTTGTCTGGGGGCTTGAGAGGGTCCCAGTCTGGTTTGTATTTAGAAGGGAGATTGACAGGAGTTAGCTTCAATGTGATTAAAGTTGTAAATGAGGGAACTACAGAAGATAATGACCACTGTTAGCAGTGTCCACAGTTAATCAGAGTGAATATAATTTACACTCTTTACATGACTTAATTGGATAAAACTTCCTTCTACCTATCAGATCTTTAAATTGTCATTTTAATCAGTTTAGAATCCATATGAGAGTTATGAGCATTTAACTTCTAAATAAGATCCCACTATCTTAAAGGGATATCACCTTTGTCATTATTTTTATCTAAAAAAACATAAACTGTCATATTTTATTTTTTTGTTTTCTGTATGTACCTTTGACATATGCAAAATTTAGAAGTTTTATTATGCATATTCAGGTAGAAAATAGAAAACCTCCAAATAAATGGTCATGTATCTGTGTGTGTGTATATATACACATATGTGTATACATACATATTTTCACACTATTTTCTTATCTATATGAGGTTAAATGACTGTGTATGTTTTAATTTATGGAATTTGTATATAACTCAATAAACTAACAACTTTTTTACTGCCTTTAGAATCTGAAAATTATAGCATTACCTAGTTCTAATTACTATTGAAAATTTACAATGTGTCTACATTGTCTTATTCACTAGTCTGTTAATTATTTTAACTGATTTGTTTTGTGTTTTTATTTTTGTAAAAATAAATCAAAGAATAATTCTAATTAGCTGAAAGACATGCTTACTTGAGGTAAATTCGGTGGCCCTCTGTGGGGACAGTTCTTATATTTTCTTCCACACAGGACGAAAGCAGCACTTTCCAGCTTTCTCAGTCCTGCAGTGGTGTCTTTCTAATCATGATACAGACCAGTATCTCTGTAAGTGTAAGGCATAGCTTTCTCTTGTGGTCTTAAGGAAGAGATTCCATTGTGCTCCGTGACAGTCTTATATTCACCTCTGTCTTACAGAATCTTTTGTTATTTAGATCTGGCACTTGGGGCCTTTTCTTTCTTTTTTTTTTTCAATTTAAAAGGTCATTTTTTTACAAATCATTTCATTACAAACAAGACCTAGGCGTTCTGTAATTTGCAGCTAAAGCAGCTTTACTTCCTTGTCTGAATTCCCAGTGTTGTGGCACTTATGCTGGCACACGGATTTTCTGTGCAGCTGTTTCTTTTGTGTGTGTTGTGTGCAAGTGTGAGGTGGTATGTTTTGTATGCAGATGGTGTGTGTGTGTGTGTGTGTGTGTGTGTGTGTCAGTGTCAGAGGTCACTGTAGAAATTGTCTTCCTCTATTACTCCCTACCATATGTTTTGAGACAGAGTCTTTCACTGAACCAGGAGCTCGCTGCCCACAGGTCCAGCTAGCTGGAGTCGGGTCTTCATGCTTGTGCAACAAGCACTCTATTCATTCTCTCCTCCTGCTTTGTTGTTGTTTGAAAACATGGACTCCTGTCGGGTAACATGCTATCTCTTCCTCCTGCTTTTATTCATGTAAGTTTTGGTTCAGATACATGACTGTGCTTCTCAGGTGCCATCCATGTACTATGCGTTGAGACCTGAACTCTCAATGAACCTGGAGCTTGCTATGCTGGCTGACTGGCTGGCCAGGGAGACCCAGGGATTCTTTTGCCTCTGTCTCCCCAGTACTAGGAGTACAATCATGTGCACCACACCCAGCTTTGTTGTTGCTGTCGTGGGTTCTGGGTTGGAAGTTACCAGCTCGGTTGTCTCCCAAGCTTGAGAGGTTACTTTTTATTTGGGACAAAAGTAAAAGTTGCCAGAGTGATTTTATTGACTTGCGGCTATGACCTAGTCATGTGTACAATCTCCCCTAAGACACAGGGCCTATTGGAGTTATCTCTGAAAGATGAAGGTGACTGGCATGCCCTTTTGCAGTCTTGGAGAGAGATGGTGAAGTACGGATGGCCGGGCTGAAGCTTCTGTTTGATAATAGGAGACATCCGTCTGTCTGTACCTCAGTCATTGTTTGTGTATGCTGCAGCCCTTGTGCTGATCACTCCTGAATCCCTCCAGGGTGTCAGTAGATCCTTACAACTGACAAGGTTTGAGCAGTGTCAGATAGTGCACAGTGGAGGAAACAAAAGCCCTTCAACTTCCTTTTCCCCTCTGTCAGAATCAAATTTTCAGGCCGCTGAGAGAAACAACTTAAAAATATACCTGCATTTCTGTAAGATCTTACATTTTCTTTTCACATCTCCACAAGCAGTGTGTCAAAAGCCAGCATGAGCTTCAATCGCTGGTTACTGAATCCTGGCGCTGAATGCCAAAGCCTTCCAGACAACCTGACATGTGTAGGTAGCTTACAGTGTGTGGAAGGGAAGGAAACAGAGCACCTTGGGGGTGCAGTGCAAACCATGCAGTTCTCACTTTATATTCGCTTGTCCAGTGACGCTCCCCAAGGCTCCTGCTGGCATGCCACCACCCAGGAGTTCAGTGGCATCCTGCCTCGTGTAAGGGAGAAAAGATGCCTGTCTTCGTTAACAGAGAGGATGCTGTGTGCATAAAAGTAGGGTTTCACTGTGGAAATACTCTATCACCTATCTGTCTGTCTGTCTATCTATCTATCCACCAATCCCTCCTCTCTCTCTCTCTCTCTCTCTCTCTCTCTCTCTCTCTCTCTCTCTCTCGTGTGTGTGTGTGTATGCACAAGTGCACACACACATGCACATGTGTGAAGGCACACAGAGACCAGAAATCAACCTCAAGTGGCATTCCTTAAGAGCCATCTTCTCTTTTTTCTTTCTTCCTTCCTCCCTTCCTTTCTCCCTCCCTTTGTTCCTTCTTTCTTTGCCACAAGGTTTCTCACTGGAAGCAGAGGTCACCAATTAGGCTAGACTGGCTGTCACTGAGCCCCACTCCCCGTAGTCTGGGATTACAAGAGCAGATCACCATACCCAGCTTTTAGACAGGTACTGAGGATCCAAATCCATCTCCTATGCCTGTGCAACATGTACTTTACCCATTGAACTCTTTCCCAGCCCCCTCAGTCCTCTTCATGCTGGAGATACACGATGTATTGTTTGAACTGCACATGCAGCCTCCGAGGCACATCTGTCCCAGCTAGTGTGGTTGTGATTCTCCCCCAGCACAGACTGGGGTACCGTAAAGTCTAATCGCTTACCATATTATTTTTGTATTGGAATATTCTTTTAAATGTGTACCTGCTGAGGACATCTGCTTAGAGATGTTTGTCCTGGACATTGCCTCACTATTGCTTACCAGCACATGAGAACAACCGATGCTGTCGAGTGTGTCTTCAGACAGAAGCCAAACAGAGGGACTGCTCTTCAGGGGCAGGACTCACGTTAGCTTAACACTCTCCTGTGAATGCTAAAGCCATTACTTTACACAGCCATTATTGAGTCATGCCTGCCACTGGCTTTCAGCGCTAGAAGAAAAATCAGTTAGAGCTTGTCCTCAGAAAGTCTTCACATAGAATATGTACATTGCACAATGAATGTCACATAGCAAAAACGAGGCACCAAGATGGTTGAGTAACAAGACAGGAATCTTGGGGTGCCAACAGCAGGGCAGCAATAAACCATCCTCGAGTATTCTGTAAAGTTGCCAGCTGTTTTGATCTACACAGCATAGTATATAATTTGATAATCCACTGTGAATGAAAAGCACATGCCACACATGATGTGCTAGCCGCAGGATGTGGCCAGGTGGAGTGAAGACTTCTCTCAGGCTAGGTTCACATTGGCCAATTACCACTTCCTGTGACCAAGGGAGTGTGTTACTTAAACTGGTCCATTTAGTATTCATTAGCTGGCAGGTCCAGGATGATGGTAAGGGTCCCTGGTCCTCTTTAGATGATGTTTTTGGGGACAAAAAGAAGGTCTATCTTTGGTCACAGTGTCTCATTTAAACTGATCTCTACATTTCAAAATTGGGCTGTCACTTCATAGTGTAGGTGGACGCTCCATGTTGTTTACCGTTGCTAGAACAAAAGAGACAACTACTAAATGTTCACCAGCTCAGCAAGCCTTCAGTCACAGGCCTTTGTGAGTTATGGCAGCAAATTTTTGGTTTGTTTTCGTCGGTTGGTTGGAGACAGAGTCTCAGGTAGCACAGGCTGGCCTGAAACTCACGACTGAGGGAGACCTTCGCCTTCTGATCCTCTTGCCTCTACCTCTGAGTGCTGGGATGGACAGTTGTGTGCTACAATGTCCACATTATGTGGTGCAGGAGATAAAGCCAGGACTTCCTGTGTGCTGGGGCGGGAGCGTTGTACCGCCTGAGCTACATTACCAGTCCTGAATTTTGGTCTTAACTTCTAATCCTCTGAGCTTGGTGTTTGCTATGTCAGGGATGTCAGCTTGTATCTATGTCAGTATTTACTGAGTCTCACTAAGAGTTGGCCTCTCCATTTTAAATGATGTGCCCAAACCCATCACAGCTTAAGATGGAGTATGTAAAACTCAGCCAGGCTAGGATATGGTTCTTCTCTCAAAGAAACCTGAGTGGGAGGAGAGCTGAGAGGTGGCTCAGTTGGTACAGTGGTTACCTTCATGCACAAAGACTTGGGTTCCATACCCAGTGCCACATAAACCAGGCATACTGATCCCAGGGCTCAGTAAGTAGAGACACGGGGGTGAGAAGTTCAAAGTCACTCTTAGCTATGACACAGTGAATTCAAGCCCAGGCTGGATTGCATGAGACCTTGTCTCAAAATAGCAAGGTAAAATAACAAACTTGACATAGACAAACAAAGTCATAGAATTTGTAAAATGTTTCAAAGTCATTGGGTAAGAGTAAAAAATTAGAGACTTGACAGTATAATCCAGGCAGAACATTTGCCCAGAATGTGCAGGCGTTGGGTTCCATCTCCAGCATTGTTGAAGACCCAGAATTGAAGTGACATCACTTACGTGTGACAAGGTAGGTGTCGTTCTCTTACTGACAAGCTGTACATCTCCCCCACAGTCCGGCTCACGGCCAGCGTCGCAGAGCGGTCGGCACTCGGTGTCTGTGGAGGTTCAAGTGCAACGGCAACGTCAGGAGGAGCGAGAGAGCTTCCAGCAGGCCCAGCGCCAGTACAGCTCACTGCCAAGGTGAGCTGCCCTCAAGCTGCAGAAGCAGCCTTCCCAGCTTGCACCAGGGTCACCAAGGAACGGGCGGTGCAGGCATGCTAGGCTTGGGAGGGGTACCTCTCACTTGGTGGCAGCATGGCAAAGAGGGCAAGTGCCTGCACCTGTGCATACCCAAAGTGATATGTCACCCTGTCTGAAAAAAGAGAGTATAATCATGCTTTTGCTTGCCTGACTCCCAGGGTTCAGGGGTGAGTGCTGCTGTATGCACCTAGCTCTGTCACAGCGGGATCGAGCCCTCTGTTCATGCACGTATGCGGATAGACAGTCACAGACCCTGTTCCAATTGCCCTCCGTCTCTACTGTCGCTCTGCATGGAAGTGCAGAGTCCCAGGGGTGCTCGGCTCATTAGCTGACAATCGAGTCAGAGAAGCTTAGGCATCGGGCTTATGAGGGACCTCTGTGAAAGGGCTAGAACTCTTGTCACAAGATTGGCCGCACACCCACACTGAACTCACCCCCATTTTCCCATCAAAGTCTTCCTCCCAGGAAATGTATAGTGCAGAATAAACATAGTGAAAACCCTGCAGGTTTTCAGACTCCTCCGAACAAGTCACTGCTACGTGACAATCATTAGACATTTGTTTTTCCATCTCAAAAAAAACGTGAGTTTGAGCAAGGCAGTTTGAGGAAGGTGGTGTTTATCTGTGCATTGGCTGATCCATGTGAAAATGAACTTGCTTCAAATTCCGATAAAGACAAGTAAGTGCCTCTAAAGTTGAGTCATCTCCATGACAGCCTCAGAACTGAACACTCACAGTGGTTAGCCAAGAGGGAATTGCAGCGAGCTCCCACCAGCACACATGGTAGTGATGTGTGAACCAGTGCATTCCGTTGTCTTTTCTCAGCTGTGAGGCTGTACAGCCCTTGGAACACTTAGCTGCCTCTTGCTGTTACGCAGAGATTAGCCACTGAAGTCATTTAACTTACATCGGGTAAGAGGCATTGAGGCCTATGTCTATACAAAATTCTTTGGAGATTTCCCATCTTGCAAATAAATAGCTCAGAAAAATGAAAGAAATGAGCTCAGAGTCACAGTCAGTATGTCCTTCCAGCATACTTGAAGCCCAGGCATGAAGACATCCTCCACTATTCGTGACTGGAGCCCATAGACCTTCTCCTGTATTCTTTGCCTTCCCTTCCCTGTGGTGACTGTGTGTCTACTGTGTGACTGCTCCTCCTTGCAACTCTTCCTCTCACAGGCCACTGCACCCTCAAGACCTCTCCTCCCAGGGTTATTGAGTTCACATCTGTTTGTCTCTTTCAAAGCTATACTCTGTGTCTCTCTTCGTCTTTCTGTCTCCCTCATCTTGGGGGCGAAGTCCTTGCCTTGGTTCTTTGGCTCGAGTTTCTTACATGGTAATGGAGGCTATTATAATCAGTAGCAAGCAGTTAGCACCTATCCAAGGTGAATACACTCAAAGATGTCCAGGGAGTTTGCTGCAGGTCCACCCAGACCTAGGTGTCACATGAACACATCCAGTGGGAGCACATGGGTGGCTGCCATTGCTGTGGTCTGTTTGAATGGCCCCATGCACAAGTGTTTATGGAGTGGCCTTCATTGGACACCAACTCTTGGATTCTAACCCACTTTGTCTCTTCAATGAAGGGACAGTTAATATTGCTCTCCCTACTAATTATTCTCAGTTCCAAAAGGTGGCCATCTTCTCTGTCTACCCTAAATCCAGAAGCTAATATTTGACACTGACTTGCTCTCTAGATCCCATAAGTCATTTGAAGACAGCCAGTCCCTTTTCTGATCAATTTACATGTTTGCTGATCCCCCCCCCCCCGCACCTTACACAGTCAGCTACTACACCCCATCTGACAGATGAGGTAGCTTGGGCCTAGAGAACACAACTCCCCCAGGCTACACAAAGACCAAGTGACAGTCTTGTCACAAGTACACAGAATCAAATCTCTGTGTTCCTAAGCTGTTCTTCCCTATGCTGGGTGCTTTGATATTTAGTATATTTAGTTCCTAATATAGGGGTGTGTGTGTGTGTGTGTGTGTATGTGTGTGTGTTTCCCATACCCTATTTCAAACCTCAAGACTTGCTTTATTTTGTACTCATTCAGCTGAACTTGAGCTACAAAACAGTGCCTCCTCCCACACATCTTCTCATCCATCCCTGACAAGTCTCTGAATTTTCACAAATTTTAGTGCAGAAAGAACCTGCATTTCTGGGGTGACTGCCATACACCTTTCTATGCAAAGGACACGCAGGATCAGGGAAGAAGGCGGCTATAGTTATCCAGAAGCCATGGATGAAGAGGTGACAAAGTAAAATCCCAGGCTTCATGTTGACGCTGTCCGTATGTCACTTCTCTGGTCAGATCAGTTCATGACTTTTTATGTGAAGATAATCAGTGCTTTAGGCAAAGAATTCACTCCATCCCATCTGAGGATTCTGCTGTGGCTCCCATAAGGAAAGCCAGATGGGAGCCACCATTCTTCCCAGTGGCTCACGGAGCCCGTGGTGACATTGAGAGCTTAATTCACTTTTCATCTTCTATGTCTCCCTATCTACAGTCCCAGCCATGTGGAAAATGGGCAGGTTCTACCCTGCACCATATTGCCAGCATTCCAGAACATTCAGATGCTGATCTCTCTGTTCCTTTGGGAGGCATGGTGGCTTCCCAGGGTCTCCTCATGAATGTGCAATGTTGTGTGTGCTGATACAAGAGGCTGAGCCTCGCCTACTGTCACCACATGATTTCCTTGCTGATAAATGGAGCAATAATAGATTTTCTTTATGAGTGTCATCTCTCCTCCCTCTTCCATTTTCAAGGGGGAAAATAGGGCATGTCTTCCTTCCTGGCACAAAATTGTTATGCTTTATCAAAGGCAATCTTACTGCAAATTCATAGAAGTATCTAGAGCCTTGGTAGTAAATTAAAGATGTTTCAGAGTCTTGTTTCCTGAAAACCACAGCAAACCCCTTGCAGAAGTGGTAGGACATGAACTTTCTGTGTGATTTGGTTTTTGTCTCCCCACCCTGGGATGATAGAATATGGGTTATCTAGTGAGGTGAAATAAATAGTGTTTCCAGAAAAGGAAATTGTGCACCCATGACCTGTGCCAGCTACTGACACACAGGACCCCAGAGAGCCAAGGCGGGATTGAAGGAGCTGCCTGCTGCATTATTTGCTTTGTTTTATCAGTGATTTGTTTTGTTTTGTTTTGTTTTGAGACAGTCTCCTGCCACCCAGGCTAGTCTCAGACTTACATGTAGATGGGGATGACCTTGAGCTTCCGATCCTCCTGCCTCTACCTCCCTATTGCTGGAGTAATAGGCATGCACTCTCAGTACCTGCTTATGTGGTGCTGGGGATGGAACCCGGGCCTCTTCATGCTAGGTCAGGGCTCTATCACCTGAGCCCGGTGCAATGCTCTGACCACTGTACTTCCATTCTCATCTGAGCTCACGCTGTAATCTGTCACATGAGCTTCTTCATGACGGAGTGACATCACAGTGTCTGGAAGATGAACATGAACAACATACACCAGTCTCTGTCATTCTGGCGACAGCTAGGTACACTGCTCATTGGGTTGTTTAGATTGAACAGTAACACTAAAGTGAGCAGCAGTTATTACAAAGCTAGACGCTGCCTGACCTCTAATACTTAGGCGCTTGTGTATACACCCAACTACAGGGGACATGGTCACCATGAGCAAGAGGGCGCCTCAAGCTAGGAGAAGCACCTGTTTCTAAATAGCTGCTGAGTCTGCACCTGTCTTTCGTTCTGTCAGCATTGGTCACTTAGCTGAAACGAAGGACTTGCTGAGGACAGTCAAGGTGTTTTGTTTCTTTGTTGTTGTGGTGTGGCTGCATGCACGATGCAGGTGCGTGTGTGTGTGTGGGTGCGCATACATGTGTGTGCATATGACGGCCAGAGGACACCCTCAGGCTTCATTCCTCAGGAACCGTCTACCTTGTTTGTTTGAAATGGGGTCTCTCACTGGACTGGAGCTCACCAGTTAGGCTAGGCTGGCCAGCCATCCAGCCCCATGAGTCTCCCCGTCCCCCAGTGCTGGAATTACAAATGTGTGCTATCCCACCCAGCTTTTTACATGGTTACTATGGATTGAAATCACATCCTCAAGCTTAGGCAGCGAGCAATGTCCATTTTGATATCTCCAGCCCCTACCATGTCACCTGGTGTGTGATGGTGACGTTTGCTAAAGCCTGGAGGTTCCTCTTTCTCGCCCCTGACTGGCCTCTTTGCTTTATTGCTAGGCAAAGCAGGAAGAATGCCAGCTCCGTATCACAGGACTCCTGGGAACAGAACTATGCCCCCGGTGAAGGCTTCCAGAGTGCCAAGGAGAACCCCAGGTATTCCAGTTACCAGGGCTCAAGGAACGGCTATTTAGGCGGGCATGGCTTCAATGCCAGGGTCATGCTGGAGACCCAGGAGCTTCTCCGCCAGGAGCAGAGGAGGAAAGAGCAGCAGCTGAAGAAGCAGCCCCCTGCTGATGGAGTCAGGGGACCCTTCAGGCAAGATGTGCCTCCATCCCCATCTCAGGTGGCCAGGCTAAACAGACTGCAGACGCCCGAGAAAGGGCGGCCCTTCTACTCCTGAGCTCAAATGAGGATGGCAAGGCTTCCTGTCACGCAATAACGGACATTTTCCTATGAAGACTTGTGTTCTTGGAGTTTAAAAGTCTTCGGTGGTACTACAGAACACTTCTGTTGCTGGTATCAGTGCCTTTAAGCAGCACGAGCAAAGAAATGGAAGGCCTTAATGTCTTTGCCACTGCGTCTCAGTGTCTCATGGAAGGATTTCCCCTCCTGACAACCCCAAGTTCAAGGCATCACCCACCTGCTTCTCTCAGTACCAGAAGCTTCAGCTCTGTGCATAAGATGCCTATGGCTTGGGTGTCCCAGCTTCACCTTGGAGAGTGACCCCTGAGGCTGCAGATGTTGCTGTCCCCTTCCCCCCTGGGCTCTCAGCTGGAGTGATTCCTCAGTCTCTGGTAGATGAAAGTGAGTGCAGGAACACCAGGAACAGGGACTCTCTCCAGGACTTCGCAGCAGGGTTTCTCCCTGTTCTGGGACTCGGTCTGGGTTTCCTTCTCTTTCCCTGAGTTCCTTGGAGCATGAAGGCTCTGGGGCGGTAGTGAAGCTAAACCATATGCCCATGGATTTGGCCATCAGGGGGACTTTCCAGCTGCCTTATAACCTCACTACCCGTATCACAGCAATTCTAGTCTGAGTTTATAAATACACTTGTTCAGTCACATTCATGACGCTTGGGAACAAGGGACATGGGAATGGCCTATTGTGCATGCACCCTGAGGAGGGAGGTGGGAACTGAGGGGAGAGTCTGGAGGAGCTGTGGCCAAACTCTTCTGTCATCGTTTTACTTTATTTGCTTTGCAATAGGTTGGCAAGGAAGGCACAGAGTGGGACAAGGAAAAACCAGTCACTTTGGATTCTGAAAATTAATCTCAATACAGTTTTGAGGTTGGAGTCGTTATTTGTCTCCTATCCCCACATAATGTGTCCCTTCCTGGTGAGACCACATTACTAAGTAATTCTGTCATGAGACATAAAACAAATAAAAGAAAAGCCATCCCATTGAGAACATTTTGATGTCCCAGAAGAGCACTAGGAGTCACATTTCCGTGCATGCCTGTGTCACGAGGCCCTTGACGCTCGCTGTTCATCTGTTGGTCTGAACATCATGTATTGTAAACCAAGGCTGGGTTGCTAAAGTGCCTGCAAATCTCGATGTGAAAAAAAAAATCTTGAGGAAAAAGCTCAGAGTACCATGTATTAACAAAAAAGAAAGGAAAAAAAAAACAGACGTGTATTGATATGCCTATTTTTTTTTACTGGCACATTGTATTTTTTGTGTAGACTTGTTTTTAGAAAATATGAGAAGTGTCCACAGACCCCGTGTCTCTTTGCATCCGTGTGTAATGGCTTTATCTGTTAATGACTCGCAGTGGTGTTTAAGTGGTATTTCCAATGTAAGTAAGCGTGTGACCTTGGACGGCAGTGGTTTTCTCACAGCCTTCTTAGGCTTTGAGGAACAGCTGTCCCTGTACATATCAGACTTCTAATAAAAGGCATATTTCTTCCTGTTCTCTGAGTGTCTCTAGTTTTCCTGTCGAATCTCTCCTAGCTGTTTTTCTTTTTTAAAGTATATTAACAGATGTCTTTTTTTCTCATATTTAGTGAGAGTGGAAAGTTTCTTCCTATCTCTGCAAACACACGTTTGAGTGGGGGAGTGTTTGACCACCCAAGGAGAGGGAATGCTGGATAGGAAAGACTGGAGCCCCATTTTCTTTCTCTCATTTAAACTTTTTATATTTTTTATCCAATTAAAATTTATTACATCATTTCCTCCCTCCTTCCTCCAGCTCCACCCATTGCCCCCCCCCACTCCCTTTCAAGTTCATGGCCTCTTGTTTTTTATTATTGTTACATGCATATGTGTACATGTATGTAAATAAATGTATAAATGGAGCTATTTATTAATGAGGGTTGTGGAAGACCTAGAGCGCCTGAAGGAGCCCCTGGGAGAGATGGACTGAAGGACTTAAATAAAGGGAGGGCTCAAGCAGGATACCACCTGTGGCCATGGCTGCCATGGTGACCTTGGCCAAAGAATCTTACTGAGATGAGATAGACAGTGAACAGTGACCAACCACCACTCCATGGGAGTCACTCACTCCAACCCCAACCCCATGGAAGTCACGCACTCCAACCCCAACCCCCACCCCATGGGAGTAACTCACTCCAACTCCAACCCCCACCCTTGGGAGTCACTCACTCCAACCCCAACCCCCGCCCCATGGGAGTCACTCACTCCAACCCCTACCCCATGGAAGTCACTCACTCCAACCCCAACCCCCACCCAATGGGAGTAACTCACTCCAAACCCAACCCCACCCCATAGGAGTAACTCCAACCCCCACCCCCACCCCATGGGAGTAACTCACTCCAACCCCAACCCCCACCCCATGGGAGTCACTCACTCCAACCCCAACCCCCACCCCATGGGAGTAACTCACTCCAACTCCAACCCCCACCCTTGGGAGTCACTCACTCCAACCCCAACCCCCATGCCATGGGAGTAACTCACTCCAACCCCAACCCCAACCCCATGGGAGTAACTCACTCCAACCCCAACCCCCAGCCCATGGGAGTCACTCACTCCAACCCCAACCCCCGCCCCATGGGAGTCACTCACTCCAACCCCAACCCCCAGCCCATGGGAGTAACTCACTCCAACCCCAACCCCAACCCCATGGGAGTAACTTACCCCCACCCCAACCCCTGCCCCATGGGAGTAACTCACCCCCACCCTTACCCCATGAGCAGTAACTGACTCCCACCCCCACCCCCATCCTCTTGTGGGCTGTGACTAAATCCCCTCTGTGGACGATGTTCTTTTTGTCCCCCATGCATCTGAACAGGGGGACTTCTGATGAGTGACCTAGGAGGTGGCATTGTTGTCTTAACCTTGTGACCTTCCAGCCAGCTCCCCCTATGTTAGCTAAGAGCACCTGTGATTCAGTTTGTGCATTCTGATGTGTCTGCCTCATCCTATGAGTCCTCAGATACAGACACACACACACTCACACCACCACACCACACCACACCACACCACACCACACCCACAAGCAAAAGCAACCTATAACCAAGCAGCTATGGCATGATTCCCACCTTTGTTTATAGTAACAGGAAAGCATGTCATTAAAGCCTTGAGGGCCATCAGGAGGTAACAAAAGTCCCCTCCCTTGGAAATCATAGTGCAACCAAAATTCAACTATCTGTTGACCACTCCCTCTTTCTATTTTCTTTATCCTCCCCCCTTTGAACAAAGATTGCTCCAATGATGACACATGAAACAAGGATATGATCTTTTCTTACCACAGAGACAGGATATCGTCTTAATAAGAGCCTTCACAGGTCAGAGAGTGAGAGTGTAGGAGGGGCGGCTTCAATGGCAAATCACCTTCCCCTTGGGTAATGACTAGATCAAACGCATGCTGGATTAAAGTGACTTAGAAAACATGTGAGGGTGAGGGTGTAATCTGAACATAAGCTTTCTCTCTTTAAAAGCAAGTGGCTGATAGCCTCGAAATTCCTGGGCAAAAGGTGCCCTCCATCCAGAGATCTCCATTTCCCCATTACCTTTCTGTCTCACACACACACACACCACATATACCACACGCACCACATACACCACACACACACTACACACATATACATCACCCCACACACATCACACACACACACACACACACACACACCACACTACACACAAACATACACACCACCACCCACATATAAACCACACATTTGGCAATGTAGAAGTTCTGTGGGTGATCTCTGTCCCTAAATTTAATTTCTTTTGTTTTCTCCCATGGTGTTGAGTATTGAACCAAATGAGCCCCCAGAGGCCAGAAGAGGATGTGGGATCCTCTGGAACTGGAGTTTGGGGTACTGGTGAGCTGCCTTGTGGGTGCTAAGTACACCTTGGTTATCTTGCCCGGCTAAGAGCTTTTTCTGTTTTGGAGCTGCATCTTGCTAAGGTTCCCAGGCTTACTTTCTCTGCTCTGTGACTGGGGCAGGACTTGAAATTGCCATTCTCCTGCTTCAGTGGGGATGTCAGGTTTGCAGTCCCAGGCCTGGCAAATGCAATTTCTTTACATTATACCCTATACTAGTAAATTTCACTGTTGGAGGTCTCCATTGTGATTTCTGTAAGCTCAAAACTCCTTTGCCAAAGAGTCATTCTGTTTCCCTCATCCTCATCCCCCCCTTACACACAACATGGGAGGGGGGAGACAGTGGGTTCTGCTCTAAAGATCTTTTTTATCTTCTGTTTGATTTTTCAGAGCAAGCTCTACCCTTAGCCAGCCTTGGGGGCAGGGGCAGCTGACTGAGGAGGGCATTGCAGGAACCAAGTCCCGCTGCCCCACACTGAGCTCTGAAGAGCACTTGTTCTTAGCTCCCCTTCTGCTCCTAGGATCAATTAAACGTGTGAAAAACACCCTTTCTCTGAATGGCTCAGGGAAGTGCTGACTTACTCACACCATTGCTGGCTTCCAAACCTTTCAGAGTTTGGTCCCAGTGGAGCTGTGGGTGTCTCCTCCTGAGCCGTTCTGCATGGCATCACTGGCCTCCTGGAGCAGTGCAGAGGCTTGCTACAAGGCTTCTACGAAGGGTTTTATGAGGTAAATATTTTAAGTACAACTTTGAAGTTTTTTTGTGTGTAAACCATCTAGCAAGACTCAGGGCCCAGGGGACTGCTAACTACCAGTGGGGAAGGACATTATGTTATAGCTTGCAAGTGACAAGGAAATAGACAACACAAATATCTAAACCAGCCCTGGCCTTGGTCAATGGCCTGCTTTTAGGGTTCAGCTCATGTGGGGCTTTCTTTCATCCAGCCCCCAATGTCAGCAGCAGCACAAAGGTTTCATCAAAAACAAAAGAGTGCTCCTGAGGCTGGAGGATTACAGTTGGAAGACCTGCCTAGGCTACTGAGACCTTGTCTCCAAGCAAAGATGAATTGAGAACCCAGGACAATGCATTCAGGCTCCCTGGGTTCCACCACCAGCACACACAGGTAGGGAAAGGTTATGTCTTTCATAATTTTTATGTCCTTATTTAATAGTGACTGCTTTTCATTGACCAGGAAACTAAGCATGACAGAAAGTATAAAGATATAAAGCTAGTAATGTCTTTCTATTGCCCTGGGGATGCAGCTCTCTGACAGAGTACCTACCTAGAACAGGCAAAGCTCTCCCTAGGTTCCATCCCCCAGTAAAACAGAATTTAAGAAAGTTAATTTGATTGATCCTTTTTTTTTCTTTTTTTTTTCTTTTTCTTTTTCTTTTTTTTTTTTTCTTTTTTTTTTTTTGGTTTTATGAGACAAGGTTTCTCTGTATTGTTTTGGAGGCTGTCAGTCCAGCCTGGCCTCGAACTCACAGAGATCCGCCTGCCTCTGCCTCCCGAGTGCTGGGATTAAAGGCGTGTGCCACCACCGCCCGGCTTTGATTGATCCTAATACTTACTATTCACGTGTATTTGAAAATTATATACGTGTATAATATGCACAAACACATACTCCGACGTGTATGCATGTACAATGACCTCTTAACACAGTGTATTGAAAAACATTTGCTTCTTACCGGAATTCGGAGAAGTCACTCTGGAGTCATCACACGTGGGGAAATGGGGATCCCCGCCTGTTGTTTTTAGTCTAGTTAATCAAGGGATTTGTGAACAGACTCAGAAGAAAGCTCCAGGACCGTCTTATATGAATTTAAAAGAAAAACCCCAAAGCAGGTGGGCTGTGAGGGCGGCTCAGCAGCACCCTGGAGAAAGGAGGTGGAGTAGAGGAAGAGGGAATCCATGCTATTTGAGTTAGGCCAGTATTAGGGTCAGCTGCATGGCAGAGAGCCACCCACTTGGCAAAAAGCAAGGTGGGGGGGGGACTTCAGAGAAAGAGTAAGGAGGCCAAGAGTCCTGGAGAAAGCATGCTTAGGGACAGAAGTGGGAAAAATAACACTTTTGTGAGTAATTCAAAAGTAGGCAGACTTACAAAGGTGTATGGCTGTGGCCCTGTAAGAACAGCACTGCGGATGGTGCTCCTGGGGAGGAAAACGTTACAATAGAGACATAATTATTCCTCCAACCCACGTAGCATGGCTTAAAGTGGCATGCCTTCCTGAGCAGGGGTTCCTTAGTCAGGTGACCAAGCTGCCCAGCTACCAAGCCAGAGGCTCCATTCTCTGGATCTGGAGGTGGGCTTTCACTGCGGCTGCACCACGCTGCCCTCCAGTCGTCAGGGTTCCATGTGGCTGTGCAGACTCGGCTGCACTCCCTTACTAGTGACTATAGCTCACTCCCTGGCTCCAGTGTGTCAGTGTTCATGACTAGTAGACCAGAAAGTGTAGCTTCCTCTTCAAAAACACAGCTTTCATCACAAAGAGAGTAAGCATGACTTATTCTAGAGGAAAATATGAAACGGCCATGGCCAGGGAACATAGATTTGATTACCCCAAATACCATTTGCTCTGATGTGTTAACAAAAAGAATAATGCATCAAAATGCTTTCCAAAAACAGTTGGGTGGAAACATCAGCTAGCTGAACTACAACAAAATAGGGGAAATCTCAGGAGCTAACTGGCAACTGTTTTAGCTTTGGGGCTGAGGGGAGCTAAGAGCCTGTTCATATATATCTTCTCAAGGATGTTGGCTCTCACACACGTGCACAATAAATTGCTATTTACAGACTAAGATAGCCCAAGACCTGCAACATACCAACTGCTGCATGGTCACTGAAGTTCTGACATGTCAATCACCATGTTAAATGCCGGAATAGGTTTTTGCTTGTTTGTTTTGTTTCTGTTTTTATTTTTCTGGGAACTTCGGTTAACTTCCAAGTCAGGCTATTTAATGATGAGAAAATGAAGACTCTCAGGAGACTGGAAACAGTGAGCATGTTTTGGAAAGTGAATGGGCCACAGCCCTAAGGAAGAAGAACATGGCCAAGCATAGGACATTCATAACAAGAACCAGTCCCAGCCGAGTCTGGAGAGGCCTTTAACCCATCCAGAACAGAAGAGACACTAGGAGATTACAAATGCGATGCAGATTTGGACCATATCATTGGCACTTCCAGCTCAAAGGGCCAAAGCCTGCTAGATGGAAGACATCTGCTGCTGGCTGTCAGCTGGGCACACATTTAAAACATTCTCCAGCTTTTCTCATTGGGAACAAAAATGTAAGTTACTTTTCAGAGAATTTATTCTTTACCAATCCTTTTTACTTTGTATCGTATTTTATTTTGGGCAAAGAAATGACATAGCAATAGGCAAAGGGAAATGATCCATTAATAGTTGGATAGATAGAATTTATCTTCAAAGAGGTAGACTATTAATTATACATGAAAAGATACTTTTAACTCCGAGACATTCCAAATGAAGCCAGTGACTTATTTCACTCCAGATCTTAAGCAAACATATTTGTGATAGCTCAAAGAGGCTGGCAGTGCTGAGACTGGCCTCCCTTTCAGAGTATGGGGAGAGAAAGAGCAACCGACTGGGGTCCAACCTCCACTGGGAAGCTCTCCAGGGGCTCCTGTGTGGGGAGCAGTAAGGGTGTATCCATCCATTGTCTACAGCACAGGCCTTATCCAAGGCTCCTGAAAATGGACCACAGGGCCAGGAGGCAGGAGCCAGGGTAGATGCTGCAGCTGGTTTGCAGCCTCCCACCCCTAGAGGAGACACTAGACGGCCATGGGCTCTCAGCATCTGGGAGAATGACTAGCCAAGGACCGAGTTTCCAGTATCTAATCGTTTGAATGAGGCGCTTCCTTTGGCTCTGGCTCTCCTTCCTGTAAGCCAGGAAATGTGCTCCCCTTTCATTAGGGGATGCTCATCGGGGACCTGGAATCCGGCTGGTTACTGCAGACGCTGTGTTAGTGTCTTCAGCTGTGTATCTTAAGTCCTTTTAGCCATTCCCTCTGGATTAATTGAAAATCATGGACATCCTGTTTGTGTGATTTGTTCAAGGTAACCGGAAGGCCATGAAGAAGCCAATATTGATTTTCTAAAGAAGTCATTTTATATGGCCTGAAAAGGACCCAAAGCAAGATTGGTCAAAGGATGCTTGGAATTGGAGATGGCTGCTGCCTGAATGGAGGAAACCTGGGAAGGAATGATTCTGACAGTATACAATGTGGAGTCACTTTGCAAAAAAAAAATTCTCATATTTACTCATTCATTCATTTATACTTTCTTTCTTTCATAGCTCAGGCTGTATTGCTCTCGGTGCTGGGAATGGGTTAGAGAGACACACATCCACAGTGATACTTAGCATGCTGAAAATAGCAGGAGTCAGGAACAGGAGGTAGAATTGAAAACATGTCACTTCACCTGGAGTTGGTAGAGACTGGAGTTGAGCAGAGGCCTGGAGGAGGTGAGCATGCCACCAGGTAGCAGGAGTGCCGCAGTATCAGCGTGGATGCTTCATTTAAAAGTTGAGAAGAGGACTGGGGTGATAGCACAGTCAATAAAGCACCTGTGAGAAAGCATAAGGACCCAAATTCAATCCCCAGAACCCATATATATATTTATTTATTTATATCCATCCCCAGGAGGCATGCATGCATTTGTAAGTTATCGAGATGGAATAATGAGGATCCCTAATATTCAGTGGCCGGCCAGTGTAGCCTAACTGGTAAGCTTCAGGCCAGTGAGAGATCCTGTGTCAAAAGTTAAGGTAGGTGGCTCCTAGAACGACACCTAAATTGTCCTTATGACACCACATGTATGTACCCCACCCCGACATACACCTGAACACACACATGAACATGCTCAAACACAAGCAAACCAGAAGAAAAAAATGATAAGGGTCCTGTCTTACATTTATTTTTCCAAGTAAGTTTGTCTGAGGGAGGAAGAGTTTATTATGACAGGGATCAAAAGTAAAAACATCAGGGGAAGGAGACAGGGGCCTGAAACAAGGTGGGTCAGAGGGTGTTTGGAACTGGAGATTGTTGCTGCCTGGGAGCATGTATGTTGGGTACAGCATGGAGGAAATCTGGGTAGGATTGATCCCTGCAGGTGCCACCCAGGACAAGCTTCCTGGAGCCAGGCACTTTAGAAACATCGGCTGGTGTGCTAGAAGGGTCTCTTCTGAGAGCTGAAGTCAGCAACAAGACAAAGGTGGCTTCAAGATGGTGGCTCCCGTGTTGTGTTCTTCACAGAATGAGCTAGAGAAGATTGTGCAAGGAGCAGAAGAGCACAGCCTAATTGACAGGCTGCAGAGAAGGAGCGTGGGCACCCTCCACGAAAGGAGGGGAAGTGGTCTGCAAGAATGACACATATCTGGTTTCCAAGCCCAAAATGTGAACTGTGTAAGTGAAACCAAGCCACTCTGGGAAGCTATGGGAATCACTTATGGTGAGAACGGGGTGACTGGAGATTGATATTTGAAGCCTTTGGGGAGGTGGGACCTCCTAAGGAGGGTGGTCTGGAGGATTCAGGCTTCTAAAACAAAACAGGGTTGTAACACTGAGGAAGTTCTGCAGTCTCAGGGAGAGAAGGAAGTTCAGTACTTGGACATCTGTTGCCTGTTCTCTCAGAGCTTCCTGGGCCTTTAAAAAGGGGCAAGATGCTGTGACCCCAGTTTCAAAACCTGCTTCCTGCCGCATGCATCCACCTATCCACCCACCCATCCACCCATCCATCCTTCCATCCATCCACCCACCCATCCATCCTTCCATCCATCCACCCACCCATCCATCCTTCCATCCATCCTTCCACCCACCCACCCACCCACCCATCCATCCATCCACCCACCCACCCACCCATCCATCCATCCACCCACCCACCCACCCATCCATCCATCCATCCATCCATCCACCCATCCACCCACCCACCCATCCATCCATCCATCCATCCACTACTCAGGGCCTTCTGTACACAAGACAGTATGTTCATTTTGCCACTGACATTCAGTGATGAACTGAGAGGCCATGATAGTCCTATAAAAATAATAGTCTAAAGGCAGAAGTACCGCCCCCCCCATTCACACACACTGGCAGACTGAGGCCTTAAAGATACTGTGAGAGTGTAATGGGAAGAAACTGAACTAGGAGTGGGACAATGAAGGTGTGTGAGGAGTGTAGCTGCTTTTTTCTTTTCAATTTTTTAAAATTTAAATCAGAAAAAAGCTTGTTTCACATGTCAGTCCCAGTTCCCTTTCCTTCACCTCCTCGCCCCCCCCGCCAGCCCCCGGGACCCTCCCACCCAATCCCCACTCTGTTCCCCAGGGAGGGTAAGGCCCTCCATGGAGGATATCCTGAGACTGTCATTTCATCCAGGGAAGGGCCTAGGCCCTCCCCCAAGAGTCCAGGCTGAGAGAACATCCTTCATTGTGGAATGTGCTCCGAAAGTCCATTTGTATAGCACGGAAAAATACTACCCAAGGCCCCATAGATTACCTAGGCCTCCTCACTGACACCCACATTCAGGAGGGTCTGGATCAGTCCCATGCTGGTCTCTCAGCCATCAGTCTGGGGTCCATGAGCTCCCCCTTGTTCAGGTCAGCTGTTTCTCTGGGTTTCACCAGCCCAGTCTTGACCCCTTTGCTCATCACTCCTCCCTCTCTGTCACTGGGTTTGAGGAGTTCAGTTTAGTGTTTAGTTGTGGGTGTCTGCCTCTGCTTCCATCTGTCACTGGATGGAGGTTCTAGGATGGTATATAAGATAGTCATCAAAATCATTATCAAGGAGTCTGGGAAACAGGGAAGATCCTAAGAGAGATATGCATGGTACCCCAGAGAAGGTGGAATGAGGCAAGATCTCCTGAGTAGATTGGGAGCATGGGGGCGAGCGGAGAGGGAAAAAGAGAGGAGGAGAAGAGGAGGGGAGAGGAGGACATGGGGGAGCAGGAAAGTTGAGTCAGGGGAAGAATAGAGGCGAGCAGGATGAGAGATACCATAATAGAGGGAGTCATTTTAGGTTTGGGGGAAGATCTGGCACTAGTGAGATTTCCAGAGATCTACAAGGATGACACCAGGTGTCACACTAAGCAATAGTGAAAGGGAGTGCAGTTTTTAAGGTCACTGAACTATTTATGCAATACATGGGTGGCTGCAATAGCAGAGTCTTCTCTTGATATTATGCATTTTGGTCTGAGTTTACTGAGAAGTAGACATGAAGATGAGATCAGATAAGCAATGTACTATTTCAAAGCTATGTATTACTATCCTAGTGCTGTGATAAAACCTTATAGCCAAAGGCAACTTAAGGAAGAGAGAATTTATTTTAGCTTATATTTTCAGAAAGATAATAAAAAAAAAGTCTATCACGTCTACAAGGCATAACAGCAAACAGCAAGCAGCAGGCATGGTGGCAGGTGCAGAAATCAGAGTGAACCGGAAGGAGAGTCACTCCTCCTAAACTGCCTCCAAACAGTGTCACCAACTGGAAACCCCGTGTTCAAATGCCTCAACCTATAGGGGACATTCTCATTCAATCCACCACAAGGTATATTGGTGAGGGTGAAGACACAAGAGCCCAGGGGAATCTTCAGAGCTTGGGGCAGTCATGACTGCTGTGGAAATGAGATGGGAGGAAAACCATGAACTGGGGTGAAGATCGGAGAAACCTCAATAGGTTTAACAGGAGTCCCTGAGCCAAAGCCACCTCAACGAGGCGCTCCAACATGGACCTACCAACACGCCCTAGGTCAGATTAGAGAAACTCACAGAAATTACAACCACAGCATAAAGAGATGAGCTCAGAGGGCAGCATGGGAATCCTGGGTCAGTTATGTTAGTATTTAGGCATTTGTACTGGCTTGCCCTGGAGTTCAGACAGGATACACCCTCAACTGCAGTCACTAAGAGGACCACTGTGCCTGTTCACTATGTTCCCCTTTAGAAGAGCCCTTCCTACCTCATTCTCTCTCTTTTATTCTCCCTCTCTCTGTATGTTAGTGCTTGCTGTTATGCCCCCCTCTCTCTTTCTGCCTCTCTTTCCTCTTCTTGCTGCTCCTGTCCCTGCTGTCCCTAGAGGCTCGTCTCCTCCCTCCCATTTTCCCTTTCCAGAATCCCTTTCCCCTAATTAAAAAAAAAAGTCACTTGAACTCTGTTGCATGGTATCTTTCTCTTGTGTGCCACTTTTTAAAAATTACAACAAACTACACCTCTAGGAGAGAATCCAGAGACTCCTACTCATGACAGACAGACTATAAGGTGACTTATCATAATGATCCCTAAAGCCATCTGTACCCCATCTGTTGTCCACAGTGTGGTGGATTGAATGAAAATGTTCCCCATAAACTCACAGTGACACGATTTGAAAAGATTAGGAGGTGTGGCCTTGTTGGAGTAGGTGTGACTGTATTGGAGGCAGTGTGCCACTGGGGGTGGGGGAGGTTTCAGAAGCTCAATTCAGGTCCAGTAAGTTCTCTCTCTCTCTCTCTGTCTCTGTCTCTCTCTGTCTCTGTCTCTCGCTCTGTCTCTCTCTTTCTCTCTCTCTCTTTCTCTCTCTGTCTCTCTGTCTCTCTGTCTCTCTCTGTCTCTGTCTCTGTCTCTGTCTCTCTCTCTCTGTCTCTCTCTCTCTCTCTCTCTCCCTCCTGCTTGTAGATCCAAATCTGGAACTCTCAGCTACCTTTCCAGCACTATGTCTGCCTGCATGCTGCCATGCTTCCTGCCATGATGATAATGGACTAACTCTGAACTGTAAGCCAGCTCCAATTTAATGTTTTCTCCCAGTAAACGTTTATAAGGGTTGCCATGGTCACAGTGTCTCTTCAGTGCAATAAAACCCTAACCAAGACTGACAGCCAATTTCTCTTGGCCCAGAAGACTTCTACCTGACTCAGATATCCTTGACATCCTTGGAGATAGATTGTGGCTTTGTAAGTAGTAACCGTTCTGTGCTCAGTTTGTGTGGTTCAAAATTATTTTGAGGGTTGGGGAGATAGCTCAGTCAGGAAAGTTTTTACCTTGTAAGCATGAAGACTCAAGTTTGAGTTCCAGGACCCATTTTGTAAAAAATATCTAAGAGTGGTGACATTTACTTGTGGTCACCACTTTGAGAAAGTGGTGACATATCTAGAGCTTGCTGGTCAGTCAGCCAAGCCTCCTTCCTGAAGTGAGTTGCTGGCCAGGGAAAAACACTGCCTAAATAAGTAAAGTTGACAGCATCCAACAATGGCTAAGGTTGACATGCTTTGATTATGGCAAAAGTAAAAACTCCATTGCATA